ATGCTTCCCGTAGTTATTTTGTGGACTCTGCATCGTAGCTTTGCAAAATGTGAGAATATTTATATAATGCTTATGTCCTATAAACATTTTTTTAAATGTAGTTCTTAGCATTTATTAGCATTTATTAATTTTAGTTTTTATTATATACTGACAGAGCTAAATTTCAAAGTCTTTTCCTATTGATTAAAGTCATTAAATATGAAATGTCCAATTTCAAATCAAAAGTTTAGTTTATATATCTCAAATAAGAAGCAATACAATTAATCAAAGTATGTGCCTAAACTATCGAAACAGTTTTGCCGTCTTAACAGTAGCTTGCTTACGCCAGCAGCAAAAAAGCCTGGAGAATGCGTGGTGATGAAATCACGAAAGGCCTTTTCCACAGCTTGTTGAGAATTGAATATTTTTCTTTGCAAGAAGTGGTCCGAAGCCTGGAAGAAGTGGTAATCAGTTGATGGAAAGTCTGGTGAATACGGTGGATGACAGAAAGTTTCAAAGTCCAGCTGTAGTAGTTTGAGCAGCGTTGCATGTGCGACATGTGATCAAGCATTGTCTTGCAAGAGGATCGGCCTGTCTCTATTAACCAATCTCAGCTGCTTAATCACAAGCATCTTCATCATTTCGTGCAATTGGTTGCAACAGACATACACTGTCATCGATTGACCGGGTTTTATGAAGCTGTAATGGATAATACCAGCGCCGGACCACCAAATAGACACCTTTAGCTTTTTTTGATGAATATTCAGTTTTGGACCTTCATCTTTATCCAACCATTGTGCTGAATGTTTGTGATTGTCAAGAAGAATCCGTTTTCATCACACATAATAATACGGTGTAGAAATGATTCACCTTTATGTAGTGATAGCAAAGAAAGGCAAGCTTTGAGATGATTTCTCTTCTGACGCTGGTTTAATTCATGCAGAACCCATCTATACAGCTTCTTTACCTTGCCACTTTGTTTCAAATGGTCCAGTATATTGTTGGAATAGCAACATCAAACCTTGCTGCTAATTCATGTGTAGGTTGAGATGGATTTGCTTCCACTACAGCTTTGAGCTCATCATTATCCACCTTGGTCTCAGGTTGCCCATATGGCTCATTTTCAAGATTAAAATCACCAGAACAGAATTTCTCAAACCATCAGCGTATTGTGTGTTCATTAACCACATCCTTCCCCAAACACTTTGTTGATATTTCAAGCTGTCTGCACTGAATTGGATGGAACTCATATTAAAAAATAACATTAATTTTTTACTTATCCCTGGTTTCACAAAAATTGCTCTTAAAAAACCTTAAAGATAATCATAAGCCAAAATGTATGCTTGAAAGACTGAGGATGTACCTTCACAATAAAACTAAAACAAGAAGTATTAAAGTGAAATGTTATAGGTATCAACTGTTTAACTTGACATAAGACTTACTTTCTTTTTAAATACTATGGTATCATAGTTTGTGATGTTGCTATAATGATAATGATGCCAGATCTAATCTCCCTTCCCCCCTTTTATTAAAAAAAATGAAGTTGATACAATTAACAAAAAGGAACTATATAGTATTTAAAATAGTGTTTGTTAGACTTCCTAATATGAAAGGAATTTGCCTTTTACAAGTATTCTGATCATCTTGGACAGCTGTGATTGAGTCATCATTGAAATATCCAGAACCGTCTACTTTTACTGTGGCCTCTATAAAAATGTAATGGAAAATTCTACTTTATTACTGTGGAAACTACTTAAAAAACATAAAGGGGTTTTAGAAAAATTACTATGACTCTTGACTAGAAAGATGTCTTTAAGATTGTTTTTAAGGTATTTATTATTATATCTATGGTAAATCCATAAAATTTAAAATGAAGATTTTTTTTGTGGTTTTAAATAATAACAAGTTGACATTCTTTATATTCTTAAGCAATATGCTTTAAACTTAGAGCAGTGAATTATGGTATAGACAGATATATACACATATGTAGTAGACTCTGGATTTTTAAACATATTAACAAATTCTGTATCCCAAACTGCCTCCCCTCTGCCACTAGCCAGCTTCTATATTAGATAATATAATATTGCTCTCAATCCATGGAGTGGAAATGTTTTCCATATTTCATTAAATATGATGAAGAAAAGTCTATTTTACAGAGAAAAATGTTTTCCAAAGTCAAATGTCAATATACTTGAATGACCACTTCGATATTTTTTTTTTCTGACATTGCTTCCCTTATATCACTTCTGTTAACTAATGGCATAGCATCCTTAGACACTCAATAAATGTTTATTAAGAACAGGATCCTGAGTTGAGGTTCATTTTTTTAGCAGTAGGAGGGAGAGCAAAGTGCCTTGGCAGCCTTTGACATCACATGCTTTTTACACAGCTTGTATCTTACCGCCTTTAAAAAAAAAATCACGGGCCGGGCGCGGTGGCTCACGCCTGTAATCCTAGCACTCTGGGAGGCCGAGGCGGGCGGATTGTTTGAGCTCAGGAGTTCGAGACCAGCCTGAGCAAGA